CGCCCTCTCACGTTACCTGGCGGGTTCTCGTGTGTATACTCTGCTGTTGCGAGCTCACACGAGTTGTACTAACATTTCACGTTGCTTTCATTAATTAGCGCGTTTCTTAGTTAATGAAACAGTTCTTAGTTACGAGAACAAGTTTTATCCGATGCAATTACTTGTGCCGCACACGCGCAGGTTAATTGACTACGAACGTAAAGACTAATTCAACGACGTAATCTATTCAACGCAACACAAGGTTAATACCACAAGAGAAAAATACTCGCTGTCTGCCTGTGGCAGGAGTGCTATCCGTTTTTTGTCTTGGCAATATATTTTGTTCGCGCTTTGCTCTATTTAAAATCTATCTATCTATGTATCGTATCTATCGTATCTATTCTTTCTTTCCTATTTTATTCTGTTTATCTCGCTCTTCTCTATCTTTTATTCTCGCTCCCTCTACAATTATTAGCGTTTTTTAATACAAAATCAGTCTTCCTCTCTCATTACTATCGTCACACCTCGCCCCATCTTTTCCCTATCAGATTTCAGCTGGCACCTCTCCCTTCGTTCTTCCTGCATCCATCCGCCTATTACAAGCAGACGGCAGTCTCTCTCTCGCGGATGAGACGAACAAGGAACAAAGCCCCGTGTGGCGCATGCATGTGGCATCGCATCTCACGTAAACACGTAGAGAGGGGGAGGGGGGCTACGTTTCCCGGATCCTAGCCGTGGCTGGCCATCACGTTGTCCTCCACGATGTTTTAGCTGCGGTGTTGTGACGAAAGCCAGGGCGTGCGCTCGTGTCTAACAAGCAAGCTCGCTGCCGCAGCCAGCGGGGCTATTAGTCTTGCCCCCACGGAATCGTTCGTCTGAGCTTCATGCTAAATGCCGCAGATTCCGCGCGCTTTTCGCGAATCGATATTTCATTGCTGACGCTCATATGATGAGAGTTGATTTCCAGCCAGTCAATCAGCGAGTAGGAAATGAGTAGTTGATGTTACGCCTCCACCGTGCTATCTCTATCCCTCGCGCTGCCTCTCTCTTCCTCTCGCACTCTCTATCGTTCTTTCTCGTTCGCGCGAGCACTCCTGCGCGCGCGCGCTCTCTCTCTCTCTCTCTCTCTCTCTCTCTCTCTCTCTCTCTCTCTCTCTCTCTCTCTCTCTCTCTCTCTCTCTCTCGCACCCCGTTCACCCTTCCTCACTCGCTGTCTCACTCCCTCTCACCTCTCTTTGCCAGTCTTCCTCTTTCCCTCCCTCTCATTTTTCCCATCTTTCTTTCTCTCTCTTTCTCCCTCTATCTGTCTCTCTCTCTCTGTGTGTGTGTGTTGCGCGTGCTATCTCCCTCGCTTTATTTCTCTCCCGAACTTTTTTCTTTTTTTCTTTCTCACGCTCTTGCTCTCTCGCCCTTCCCCACCCATCCCATCTAGTCTCACTCTTTCCCTTTCTCCCTGCCTACTTCCTCCTTATCACTCTCGCGCGTGATCTCGCTCTCAATCTTTCTTTCTTTCTCTCTCTCTCTTTCTCCTTAATTTTATTATAATTCCAAGATCAACATCACACTTTTACTGCCATTCTTGCTATCACGTCACTCGGCGAATCCACACCCCTCCCACTCTCACGTCACACTCAGGTTAACCGCTCCTCATAGTTTTGTTTGTTTAACGCTTTAAGGTTTTCTATATCAGTTGCGAGATGTCGGGCGCGGATGAAATGTACGTCCTTCTGACAAGTTAAAAGCATTACTGCACCTGCCGTTACAAACCTGTTATGTAAAATTTTATCGACGCTTCGTCTACTTCAGCGGTTCTGGGACACGCAGATTTATTATCATGTTGCTAATTTGGCGATACTTGCGCTCTCCACTGCCCCGTCCGTCTCCCTCCTCTCAACACGACCGTCCACCCGTCCCCCCCTCCCCACGCCGCGCACCCCACGCCTCGTGCCACGGCTCTCTAACCCCCACAAAAAAGTCCGCCCCACCCGACACCGCCTCACTCCGCACACACAGCCCGCCCGCCGACTTCCCAACCAAGTCTCTCTCTCGCTCTCTCATCTCTCTCTCTCTCTCTTCTCTCCTCTGCTCTCGTCTCTCTCTATCTCTCTCATCTCCTCTCTCTGTCTCTCTCTCTCGGGCCAGCCTCTTCTCGCGCTCTCTCTCCTCTCGCCGCATCTCTCTCTCTCCCCCCCTCGCGCGCGGCTCTCTCTCTCTCTCTCTCCCTCGAGAGTACACCATCCCGTTTCCAGGCATGTCATTACAGCTACTCGTAAATAGCTTCATAAAACTTTTAAATTTCATTTCAATCGTTTTCTAAATTTCAGTTTCCGCTTCCTAAACGCAAACGCCCCCACCACTCTCCACTGTGCACCCGTTTGAAATGCGAAAAGCAAGGCAATTTAGTCACGTTTCGGCAATTTCGAATACATCACTATAGCATGGATACAGATACGCTAGGCTTGACACGTTGAGATTCATTTTCTCAAGAAAGGGGGCTTATAGTCCGCTGACTAACGTTATAAAACTCGGACACTGTAATGCAGTTTGCTGGTGCGTGCGGAGTCACGTTACATATACCAGGAGGTACCCACGGTAAGAGACATGTACGCGCGTACAGAGATAAACCAGGTACACCCAGGTACACGTGACGGATATGCTTGTTTCCCAAAAGTTTGCAGGAGTCGTGATTAGTCATGGGTGTGTTTTACGGCTAAGCTATGAAGCGAGTGGGAAATATTTTCGCCCCGCAGCGTACCGCTGATTGACTGACTCTTTATACCAGATTATGGGTGTTTCGCGCTCAAACTTAAAATCACCCCGGCGGTCGCATCTTGTCAAATTTGGCGAAAGAGATTTCACGGAATTTCTCTATCTCTCCTCTCTCTCTCCATCTCATCTGTCTTCTCGTCTCCTCACTCTCGACCTCCTCTCTCTCTCTCTCGCCTCTCTCTCCGCCTCTCTCCTCTCGCTCTTCTCGTCCTCTCCTCTCTCTCTCTCTCTCTTCTCCTATAATATAATTTATATATATATATATATATATATTCTATAATATATATATATATATTGAATTGAATATATACATTTCGATTATTTGGATATATATTGATGGCATATTAAATTCAGAAGATAGCACTTGCGCGCACGTTGTCATTGAAATCAATATCATAGTGTTCGTGAGCATAAAGTTTCAAATCCTTTTTTGTTCACTCATCACACAACAAAATTTTCACATTTCCACTTGGCCCGCATTGATTAATGTACCGGCGGTTTTTTTTATATAGTGTTCTCCCAATGAACAATACGGGGTGTCATTTTCCCCCGGGCGTAGATGGACGGTGCCGTTACGTAGCAGCACTAGTCACTTCGTACGCTTCAAAGTCCAAATCTTCCACAGAAAGATTCCACAGTCATACTTCCGTACTAGACATGGCCTTATTTCCCTAACCCTAACCCTAACTCTAACCCTAACCCTAACCCTAACCCTGACCCTAACCCTAACCCTAACTCTAACCCTAACCCTAACCCTAACCCTGACCCTAACCCTAATCCTAACACTAGTGCTGCCACATCACGTGACCGTCCATCTACGCCACAGAAATAGAATAGATTCTATTTCTGTGATCTACGCCCGGGGGAAAGTCACTCTCAACAAATATGTGCGTGTGCTGCCACCTACAGGCTAGAAAATGCGATAAAATCATTCTTTGGTATTTGGGTTGCATTAGAGTACCTAACAATATCTCTCAGTTAGCGACTGCACTTCAAAACCACTGATCTCTAAGATACTAACCTAGTTAGTATAGTAGAGATCAGTGTTCAAAACCTGTTTCTACAATGGCCGCAATGCAGACGATCAGGTTATATGGAAGGTGGCGCCACCTTGCAACCGAAATTTGTGCGATTCGTTTATTGCGGTTACTGCTGGTCTGTAGTATACAGAGTCATCAGCTAACGTTGTCTACCAACCAAGGTAATTTCGTATGTTTTGAATATTAAAATTATTCGATGAGTTTTTGTTTCGCCGACTTAAAAATCCAAACTAATAAATATATATACGTGGCGCGGTTTTTATAAATTAATCAACAGGGAACAGAAAATCATGAGAATGAGAAATGAGAATGTTTTGTGTTCCTCCACTTCATCCCGCTAGATGGCGCGCCAACGTCATTGCGATTTACTGATGGAAACGTCGCTGGAAACTATAGGCGCGTTCACACGGACGTTTTTGGCCCGAGCCTAATGAGGCCCGCGCCAAATTTGGCTCGAGCCGAGCGTTCACACGGACGGTTTTTCGTGGCCGTGCCAATTTAGCACGAGCCAATTTGGTCCCATCAAAAACGTCTGACCAGGCCCGAGCCAAATTTTAGCACCAGCTAAATCGGTAGAGCGGTAGATGCCGCGAGTGTCGAACGTGTACTTCGACGAAATAAAGTCCAAAACAGTATAAAATTAGATCAGGATGCATGTTTTCAAGATTGATAATTGAACTCGGAACGGATGTAAACACTGAACCGTACACAACGCCATCTCGCGACAGATATATAGCTGCGTAATATTAATATAAATATTATTTAATTAATATTAATTTAATAATAAATATTAAATAATAATAGTATTCGCTTGCGTACGTGTGAACGCTCCAACTCAAACCGGCCCGAGCCAAATTTAGCCCATTTAGCCAGAGCCAAACCACCGTATGACCGTATGACCGTATGACCGTGAGAACGCGGTATATTCGGTATAATGTCCATAGACCGTGTCTCAACCTGGGTAGTGAGTCTGTATGTTGTGTGATAAGCGTGAGTGCACATGTAATCGTACATGTAGAGAATTCTAACAATTATGATCATGCGATCATTTGGTGTATATTTGTGTATGCAGTACAAAAATCTTGAGCATATAATCTGCTATTGTGGTAATTTCCTGATGAAGACACCCTTCGCTTTCTCGTGCTATTAGTGTATGAAATGTGGATACTAGATGGCAGCACCATACAACCATAGCGAACCAGCGTGGCTGTGTTAACAAATTGTCAGACTGAATCTTGGGCTCATGAATTTCCCGATTAAAGCAACACATACAGTGTCCACTTTGAAAACACACTACCTTAGCGTGACGTCATAGCTTGATGTTATGTTTTAAGACTCTGCCTGGTTCGCCCATATCTGCAATGTTTCCGTCCTAAACGGTTTTTGCAATCATGAAAGGATGATTCGTTGATTGTGACTCGTTAGATTTCTCGAAACTGCTCAATTCATACGCGTTAGCAACGCACACAAACTAGCGACGGTAAATACGAAGAATAAATTTCACGCGTCAACACATAGGCACCACATAGCAAATTTTTGTTATCACTTACCGGAAATCCCGTCACCAGTTCGCTTCCGTTTCCGTCGCCGTCCGATCTCGTCTTTTAACAAGTCCTCCGAGTCGAAGTCTAACGAACTTTCCACTTGTAATGTACTTTCTAGACAGTCTATGTTGTTATAATCTAAACTAGTGTCACTATTGAGGCCATTGAAACTGAGGTCGTCACAAAACGGAAGGTCGCTCTCCACGTCACCGCTGAATGGAGACCTCTTCGCGTCCAGCGTGTGAAGGTCGCTGCTGAGGGACGGAGGACTGAAGGGACGCTCGAGTCCCGTGAAATCCTCGTCTAGGTCGGAGAAGAGGCCATGCAGGTCGGTGTGAGAGAGCTCCTGGAGAACCTCCGGTTGCGACACGACGATCACATTCGGACTGCTATCCTGGAATAAAGAACGGGGTTGGGGTGCCGTTAGTGCGTTTATTGCGTGGTTGGTTTGCATCGTTCTCTCTCTCTCTCTCTCTCTCTCTCTCTCTCTCTCGCTCTCTGTCTCTCTCTCTCTCTCTCTCTCTCTCTCTCTCTCTCTCTCTCTCTCTCTCTCTCTCTCTCTCTCTCTCTCTCTCTCTCTCTTTCTCTCTCTCTCTTTCTCCTTAATTTTATTATAATTCCAAGATCAACATCACACTTTTACTGCCATTCTTGCTATCACGTCACTCGGCGAATCCACACCCCTCCCACTCTCACGTCACACTCAGGTTAACCGCTCCTCATAGTTTTGTTTGTTTAACGCTTTAAGGTTTTCTATATCAGTTGCGAGATGTCGGGCGCGGATGAAATGTACGTCCTTCTGACAAGTTAAAAGCATTACTGCACCTGCCGTTACAAACCTGTTATGTAAAATTTTATCGACGCTTCGTCTACTTCAGCGGTTCTGGGACACGCAGATTTATT